TGGAGACACTTCAATCTAAACAAATGAGTTAACATCTGCATATTACAGTTTTGACAGAATTCTCATTTTGAATTTCAAAGTAGTCGTATTTCAAACTAACTGAATTCCTTAACATGTAAATCTCTATATCCCTGGCCAGGACAAAAGTGCAGTTATGAACTAATGGTATTCTGAACTATCTGACTTGTGAGTTCAAATTAATGAGGATTTCCTGTATTTCATTTACCTTCTTATTGTATACTACCAAGAATTCATTGCTCATTTCATTTTTTATTGTTTATTTGTATTTAACTGAGATTTTATTGTTTAATTAGGGTAGAATCTCTGGTATGTCTGCAGGGACAAATGTACAGAGGGTAATAGTGGCTTAAGCCCTCCCATGGACACAAAAAAAATTAAAATTTGTTTGAACTTCAAAACATTGTTTTTAAAATCATTTATGATGGCAAATATAATTTATCAGACAATCCACAATACAATCATCTCACACATATCAATAAAAGATATTTATAATTATTCAAATATTTTTCATTTCCGTTTTAGCTTTCTTTTTTGGTTCTTCTGGATCTGCCACTGGACTTCACAGTAATAAAAAATAAATAAAAGCATCAAAACATAGTTTATGTTTCTTTTAAATCAAATATTATGTGAAAACCAAAAGTTATATTAAATGCATGAAACAATATGAATTTTAATTATCATCAATATTTAGTAATCAAAATGAAATATGAGGAAAAGATAAGCAATTCAAAAATCTTCTCACTATATTGTATTAAAAAAATAATTAAATTTTTTGCATTTAATTATTGAAATATTACATAAAGAATGGTAAAGATAATCTGAATAAGAGATTATCACAATCAATAGTTTAAATTCACTTAGAACACATTATCTAGAGAAGACTTCATAAATCTGAAGATTTCACTTTTATTTATTTCTAAATTTATATATTACTAGCTGTTACCCGTGACTTTGCCCGCGAAAATTTTGCAAGCAAACCCCATTTATATTCAGTATTTCAACAACCATAGTAATTGTTATATAACACCTACCGCTGAGAATGATGAGAATAGCCGAGAATCAAACGAACTATTTTCAATTTGATCAATTTTCTGGGACGTTGACAATCATTCTATAATCGAACCAATATGCAATAACAAATTCGAATTTAAAACAGTTTGAACATTTGGATGAAAAATCAAAATATATAAAAATATTTATAACAATGTCTGAAATGTTATCAATTTAACACACCTAAGTACTCGATGAAGACTAAATCCTCTCCCTCTCCCGCCTGCGGGGGAATTTAGAAAAACCCCTTCTTATTGTGCATTGCCATGGCGTACCCTACTAAAAAGCAGATAAAAACAAAAAATCGCATCTAAAATAGTAGAGTAGAAGCCATTCTTCTGGTTAAGCCTTAATGCTCTCCCTCTCCCCCTGGGGGAATTTCAAAAAATCCCTCTTAGTGTATGTTTCCATGATGTACCCTAACTGTCTACCAAATTTCACCACTTTAGGTTAAGTGGTCTGCTCTGGGTGATGATGAATCAGTGAGTCAGTCATTCACTCAGTCAGTCAGTCAGTCAGGACAAGCAATTTTATATATTTAGATACACATATCCATTCATTTACTATACATATAATCTGTAACAAGAGAACCTGGCTATATAATCATTGTGTGTGTTTATTTGATCAATATTTTTAATTATCAATTAGTACTCTTATCTATTTCAATATAGATATATATTTTCCTTTACTTTAGATTTGCTTGCATCTGAATTTTGAAGACAGTTCCTAAATTTTAAGAATATTTGTACACTTATTTATTAATACCTTCATTTTATCCATGTCTCATATGACAAAAAAAAGGCATTTTTATTATAAAATTTATCAAATACATGTATAATTATTTAGTAATTTTATTTTTTTTAACTAGTAAAGCTATTCATCAATGTACACAAGGGCTTCATTCTGTAGAACTTTATGTAACCTGAATTTTACATAGTTCAAATAGTTATAAATACTGATGCAGCACTAGCTACTATCATATGCTGAATTTTATTAGGACAAAATATATTTTACCAAAAGGTAAATAAAATCAGTTATTCAATGTTTTACTTCACATGCAGGAAAACAATAAAAAGATTAAGACAAGTGTCAGTACAAATATCTTATATTCAAAAATAACATGGAAAGGGCAAGATATTGATTAGATAGATAGATAGCATAATGGTGTTTGTAGAGTATTGATCAGAACCTAGGAAATATGGATATGGCTTACAATAACTTATTTTTTAAGTTTGTACAGATAAAAAATTAATGTAATATTGAATTTGCATAAGTTGAGGAGTGGTTGATATATATATATATATATATATTTAATCTATTCTATGCTTTATGGTTTCTTTATCCTTTTGAATAAAGAAGTAAAACCTTTTTCATTTTGATATCAGTAAATGAATCAATTATTCAAATAGATACTATATTGAGTATCTTAAAAACAAGCTCAAAATTCACAGTTTACCTTTAAGTCTTTTCTATTCAATTTAGGGTCCAAATAAAATAGTCAACCATTTTGCTTTATCACTATGTAAGCAGTATATGTAAAATGGATAAGTGATTTTTGTTTAACTGTCAAAGATTTATAAATAATATACCACCAAAACTAATAAATATTCATTTCTTTTTGTCTACAACCTTTTTTCTTATTTATTTCTTGTTTTCTTTTTAGCATTAAATAATCATACTCTACATTATTAGAAGAGCATGTTAAAAGTTTGCATTAAAGTAAATAGAAAATGTTTTATTCCTTTGATTCTTCTTAGGATGAAAATATGAGTTATAGAAGTTTGGAAATTTATACAACTTGTACTATAATTTGAAAACAAATAAAATCCAATAATAAATCAATAATCATTGTATTCATTTCAAAACTAGAATTATTGCAAATAAATAAAATTTGAAAATTCCAATAAAGCATAATTGATTCCCAATAGAATTTCATATGGCATTATCGTGTTGATTTAATTTGATATTGTCAATAGTCACATGATCTGATTTAACCATAAATTATATGGTTACTTAAAACAGCAGCTAAACATACATTCAATAATGGCTGTTATATTACCTATTGAAATATAATTTTTTAAATTGCCATTCATTTTTTTCTGTTATATCTCTGTTAATGTTGCACGATTTTGTAACCCCCTTTGTAAAGGCGAAAGCCATAGCAAATAAAATAATTAATTAATTAATTAATTTTTCTGTTATCATTTTTATATAAGTTTACTGTTTTTATTATTATATTATTAAACAAAAATAACTGACAATATTAACATATTCTTTTATAAATACAGAACTAATAAATATAAGCATAGAGAACAATTTATTTATTTGGAAATGTTTTGCAATTATTTTGTTTTGTATTGTATATTCAATTGTTTAGTTATTAGCTATTAATTACTAATTTGTTCAATTGCTGAGTGATGCAATATTTACATTTTTAAATATAAAATACGATAAATTTCAATATTTTTTTCAATAAAAGAAATAAGATAGCTATAAAAGTATTTTTATTTTACATTATATGGATTAATATTATGTCCAAATTATATGGAAACTCTGTAAATACAGACTCTAAGTTGAGGTAGACAAACATACTTATCATTATATCAGTTAATATGCAATAACAAAGTAAATTTAGAACTCCAAGATTAACAGAAATATTTTATTTACTAAAAAATCATCAGATTAAATAAAAAATTTTAGATTTTTTATTTAATTTTAAGTAGGTAATACCCAATACATTATAACTGTTTTGGATAAAATAAATTACAGTAACATATTTGTCAGCCTCAATCATTCATTATGGAAGAAATTACATATAAAGCTACTGCTCAGAAAATTTTGCTACATATTGTAATATTTTTCAAACTGAATTACAAAATGAAACAAAAATATTTTAATTGAAAACTATTTAAACAATATTATGCATTCTGTAATTCATTTGAGAAAGGTTTAAAAATATCAGACCTATGTTCAAACTAAGTATTAACAATGTACAATACTCTATATACAAGTTGGATTAATTTGGAATTTAGTATTAAGGAATAAGCAAAATTAGAGATTATTAACAAAAATGATTGTGCACTTTATAAAATGCAGGCAGAATATTTTTTTATAAATTACAAAATAAAATAATAAGAGTAAAATGTATTTTTAAAAATTTATGTATAAACAGATAAAGACTGAAAATAATCATCATGCATTTTACCAAATCATGCAAACAAATTTGTTAAAATTAATAATTTAGCAATATTTCTATATTTATACACTCTCTTGTTCAATAAACATAATTAACATTTCAAGTGAAGACATGAATTTTTATATGCATTACTTATTTAGTTCTTTTACCTGTTTCCTCTGTAAGCTTGTAACTGTAATGACATTTAACACCAAAATTGCTACAATAAATTATGCTCAGAGACATTACTAGAAAACCATTATTTTTATTCCTAAAATTAAATTATATAATAAAATAAAAATTTTTATTCTAGAAATGCCTCTGGATTCAACCAATTAGGTTTCACAACATTTAAAGACAGGAAGATAATAACAGAAACAGAAAACAGAAAGACAGTCTGCTTGTTTTCCATTCAGTATCCAGTTGACCTGTTGATAAAAGACAGAAGTGATAAAAGGAACACAATATGGCATAGAGTTGCCAGCTGATGATCTATAAAGGGAAGGTTAGGTTTGAGGAAACATTCAAAAACAATAATCATGCAACATGCATTTGTGCATTGATTTGAAGCTAGGATATGGTATTTAACTTTCCCACAAAAAATCATCAAGAAAAATTGGTTGTTGAAAGCTTACACTATATCTACAGTACAAATGCTTTTATTTAATATTTCTTTGCATGATTTATATTTTTTGTGAGAAAGTTTAAATTAATTTATAAGGAAATACAAGGAGGGGAAAGGTGATATACATACCATCTTCGTCTGTCTTGACAATAATTGGTGGAGAAGGTGGGCCATCACCTACAGAAGTGCCTGCAAGTACCCATACGCGATACTCAGTCCATTTCTCCAGCCCACCAATGACATATGATCTTTCGTTGGGACCCACCTCGACTTCATGGGTGAGAGCCAAATCATCTCCAGCATCAGCTTTGAGGTAGTTGATCTTATAGATGATGATGGCACCATTCTGTTGATCACGGGGAGGGGGTTTCCAGGAGATGCGTAAGGATCGGGAGTCTAGAGCAGAGCCAGTAACATCTTGGGGAGGGGCGCCGGGCACTGTGAGGGATAGGAAGGAAGGAGGGCAAAGTGCCAGATATTGTGCAGTGGGATAATTTGGTAAGATTAAATCAAAAACTAATCAAGGATCTAATACAGGCAAAAAGCCAAGGTAATACCAACAAAACTAATACATAAAAATAAAATTTACATAACAAAACTAAAAATTAGTGGCCACCATTTTTTAAATAATTTTTAAACTTAAAATATATTAAATATTCAAAATTTTACATTAAACTTCATTTTATTAAAAGATTTACTATTTATATACCTCAACATTAACAACAGAATTTTTAATTTTCATATTTAATCTAGTTAATTTGCCACTTTTGAAAATAACATTTAAAGATTATTTGTTTTATTCTTTATATTATTATTGCTATTACTATTAAAGATTAATTATATTTTATTTAAAATACAATAAATTTCTTTATAAAGATAAGAAAATAATGCTAAATAATACAAATAATCTTTAAATAAGAATTAAATGTTAAAAATAATATTAAAGACTATTTCTAAATATTAAAAAAACAAATAAATCAACACTAGGCAGAAATTACACTTGAGATTTACACAAAGGACAAAACAGACACGCACACACATCATAACTGAAATGGGATGGTATCAAAAATGTATGTATAATACAGATACCATGCCCTAACAACAATGCAAGTGTCTGGTGCACAAGACTTTTTAGCAGGAAAGACAACCTCCTTAACAGGAGTAGTGTGACACAAGAGGCTTGGCACAACATGCGTGCAAATACAAACTGGGAATAAGGTTATCATCATGCGAGATTAATTTCACTGTAGGTGTGAAACAGACATGTTTATAACTGCTTGAAAGAATTCAATGTTATTGTAGATTTATCCAATAAATAACAATGACTGCTTCCAAACAATTATGAATGGACAGCTATCACACACCTTCAGTTAGGTATTATAAAGGTATGTCTGGAATAACTGGGAAGCACAGCTGGCAACCCACATCCATAATAAAACTGTGAGCTTTCAGCTTTGTTATATTTTAATAATTCTATTTATATATTCATGAAAAAATAATTTATACTTAATATATATTTTTGAATTTCTTTATTAATCCTTATTATAGCTTATACATAATAAAAATGTATAATGCACATTACAGTGCACAATTCATAAATTCAAATTTTTTACTTACATACCAACATTTATACGAAACTTTCACAGCAAAAAAAATATATTACTTTAAAATAGGTAATGGAAATAACTAAAATTCATTTCATATATTTTATTTTTAATATATTACTTACTTTGTTTAATGATTTAATGAAAAAAAAAATTAATTAATGAAAACTTTCATTTAACATTAACCCATTTGCTGCTAATTAAAACTTGAAATATTTCAATTATATGCAAGTTTTGATAGTTACTATAGAATGCAAAAGTTAAAGTTTTGAAGTTGATCATGCTTTTTTTAAAAACTATTTCTTTTGATAAAAAATCAATGAGGTAGTAACAGGAAGTTTATAGTGTTAATACTTATATACTGTACAGTATTAATTTTTACTGTTTATTTTCATGTAGATTAATATTTAAATTTAAGCATTTTTATCCTATTTACAATTTCAAATATCTATCTATAAAATACTTTTTTTAAGATTATTTGTTTAATTAGCAAGTCAAATCTTTCATTTGAAATATTTCAATCAAGATAAATTCTGAAAAAAAGATTTAACTCAATTTATTAAATTTTCATATTCAATATAAATAAATAAATAAATTTTTTAATTTGTTGATTGATAACTTTCCTATCAAAAGCAGATATATCTTATAAAAACTTATTGATGTAATATATTCTAAATATTTAAAAAATTTTTCAATTTAATTATTGTAGTAGTAAAAAAAGTAGCAATTAGTTTGTTTAAATTAACAAAAAATTTTGTGTAAAATTTTAAAAAACTCTTTCAGACTTTTTGTAAGTTTATTAAAAAATTTAGAATAATTGCTATAATGTCATCAAGCAATAAATGGGTTAAAGAAACTACTACATTTAATGAAAAAGTATTAATGTTGTAGTGAATCTATAATAAATAAAATTAATGTCTTTTAAATGAAATCATTTTTCTCATACTTAATGAAATTTTAACAAATGCCTAAGTTGTAAAAATGAGTAATTTTATTTAAAAAGTGATAAAATGAAATAGGAATTTTATCATCATTTTACATCAGTTAATCAAAGTAATTATGTTTAAAATTACATATATTGTACAATTTAAAAAATGCACCTACTATAATTTGATATTATATAATGAAACTTTATTACTTCAAATTTTTAGAATTCACTAGAGATAAGCTAAAATTTTTTAATTAGTAATCTTTTTAAAACTAATATTCAAATAAAGATGTGTTATGAGAAATTGATTTCATTTCAGATTATGATTTTATGATTTAAAATTCTTATTATAATGAAATCTAAATAATTTTCATTAAAATATTACAGAATAAGTTTAAAGTAAGGAAATAACAGTTCTTTCAAATAAAATAAGATTTTTTAAAATTTTAATTAGAGTATTATATTAATATAACTGCTTAATACTTTGAAAGTTATTGAATTTTTAAAAATAATTTACTTTTTAAAGATGTTTTCGGAATTATTATTTACTTTTTTCTTAAACAATTATAGTTTATTTATAAACCAAAATACATACAAAATAAAAAGATTTTTGATTTGTGAAAAAAAAAAATTATATAGTCATTTACTAAGTAACTATAAAATTTAATTATAAAATAACTTACCATACTGTTCTGTTCTAACAGGTACAGGTGGTGTTGCTGCACCCTCCCCTTGCAGAGATTTGGCAGCAACCCAAACATAGTAAGTTGTGTCTGGGTATAAGTCACTTAATTTATAAGTCTCCACATCAGGAATACTTATATGATATTGATGTTGGGTGAATGTATCATTCCAATATAATTCATATCCAATTACTTTCTCACCAGAATGTGAAGGTTGAGTCCAAGTTAACTGGACTGTAGTTGAGGATGTAGCCACAGCACGAAGATTACTTGGTTGACTAGGAACTAAATAATATTTTATTTAAGAAAATATTTAAGAAAAATTAATTTTTTAAGGGTAAGACTAAATATTATTCAGATATAATGCTAGACTGCAATGAATAATGGAATATACATATATACAATAATTTTTATGGTCTAAATTTTATATGTTAAATTAGCAGCTCAACAGTCACATATTGTAAAAAATATTAATGTGAATTATTAATTTAATTATCAGATTTTTGGATAACCAGATTCATATTCAAATTCCTTTTTCATTCAATAGAAGAAAATATAATACAATTGAAAACATTTAAAATGATTGAAAACGTTTTTATTATATTAAATTTATGCTGGATTGACAAAGGTGTAATTTTTAACTTATTCTTTATCCAGTATATAGTTTATTTCATGAAAATATTATAATTAGTATTGTAGAATTTATTGTAATATTTTAAAATTTTTAAGCAATATTTTTAACTTTAGTTCTAGAACAAATTTAATTTTTATGGGCTTATGGGTTATGGGCTTAAGGGGTTAATTTAACAGAGATTTTCAAAAGTAAAAAAAAGACTTTATAAGAGTATGACGATATATGGGCATATGGAAATATCCTGTAGAATGCCTCTCTAGTTAATAATTTCCTAGTAAAGTAGTTTGTTGTTTTTTAATAGCAAAGCTTCATAGTGCTATAGCAGTATTTTATGCTGTTTATGAAATCAAAAGATCTCTTGATGATAAGAACTTTTGCAAAATAATTGGCATTATGTTCTTATAAGTTATAGAAGATGAAACAAAATATGATATTCAACACAGTGAACTAAATTATATCAAAGACTTTAATAAAATTTAGATCAAGGAAGTATAGAAGCACAATAGTTCTCCATGGTTTTGTTTAAATCAGTCTGGCTCAGAGAAGATAAATATCCAATGAGATACAGTTCTATTGTAAAGCATCCCAAATGCCTGACATGCTAACTCAGGATTAAATTTCTATATTTCTTAACATTTACAATGATAATGATGATATATATGCAACTATTTTAAGAAATATATTGGTCAAATCACTAATTAAAGTACTAAATAAGATTAGCAATATAAAATTCAACAATAATTACGCAGGAAACTAATTAAAACTTTTTCTTGCCTCCAGGCTAAAATTACCTGCCTTGTATAGAAATGGGTGTACTGAATTTGAAATGACCATAAAAATGCTCTGTCGATGATGTCCAAATGATTGCCATATTGAACCAGACTGTAGCCTGATTCAATATGGCAATCATTTGGACATCATTTAAATGAATGGCGGCACCACTGAACAATAAAATTAACAGTGAACTATTTATCAAAATCATAAAAAAAGTAATGGTACAAAAAAAAGTATGCATAATTGAGATGTCAAAAATGCCTTCTTTTCAATGACTGTCTTTTATATTCACTGTTGCTTTCTTGTTTGAAAGTCCAATTTTTTAAAGAATAAAAGTGAGTTCCTAACTAAAAGTTTTGCTGTGAGTTCGTCTACCAGAAATTTTTTGGATTACAGAGACGAATTATATACATAGTAACATACAGCAGTCCAGTTATATATTGAAAGTCCAGTAATAATCCCCAGCATGGCTGGGTCACATTATCCCTGATAACAGTGTTTCATTTCAGAAATTTCCTGATGGAACTGTTCTCCCTGTTCATCACTTATGTCACTCAAGTTCTGTGAAAATATGTGGAGATGAGAATGGAGACAACAAATCTTTGAGAACACACTTCAATAGCTCTGACACTAGAAATTCGTAGTTCTCTTCTTCTCTATTTCCCAGAAATCCAATGACCACTGCTTTGAATGAATGCTAAGCAGCTAATTCAACAGATTTAAGCCTTTTCTCAAAGATTTTGTCTTTAAGGGGTTTTCTTATTTCAGATCCTACAAAGATACCTTCGTTTAATTTTGCTGTTGTCAGATTCAGGAAAACTCCTTGAAGGTAAAGGAACACACTTCCATCTTCTTCCAAGATTTTCATGAAGAGTTTCATTAATCAGGTTTTAATGTGAAGAGAGGGGAGAAGAATCTTCTCTGGGTCTACAAGCAGCACATATTTCACATTTCTTTATCCAAGTATATGTTCTTTCCTATTTCCCCAATTTTTAAGAATGTATTTATTTGTTTCCCAATTGTTCCACAGACACAAAAACTAGCAATTTTTTGTAAACTCTCCTGCAAACATGTAGCAATGCAAAAACCTTAAAATCAGATCAAATTATCCATCCATATTCATCAATGTATATCTTTTAAGAAAGCAGATATCTGTATTGTATGTTTCTTTGAAATCCATAGCATGAAATAAAGGTACTGATGGTAAAACATTTCTGCTGCAAAGCAATACAGTTTTCAAACTTAATTTTGACGAGTAAATAATAATGTCCATTCACTGACTATATGCTGATTACTAAACTCATTTATTAATGCAGTAATATGTGCACAGAAACAGATATAGTTTTTCTTTGTGAAATGCTTAGAAAACTGTTCATGACAGTTTCAATAAATGGAAATCTGTCTTTAGTGAGGAGTTCCCATTGCTTTGACTCCAATATATGCTTCCTTTTTACTCTTCTCTGTTTAAAGTCCAAAATTAAAACTGGAATAGATAACTTGTAATAAAATGAATACCATACATAATTTTCCAGCATGAAGAGTTTATGGAACAAATGTTTTTGGTTTATTTTATAAACCTGCTTCAAGGTTTCAAATTACACAATTCAAAATTCCCACATTGGAATGTTTCAAATATTCAATGACATTATTTTAAAAATTCTTTTTGAAATATTGTAATTATGTATACATAAACGTATATTTAAACAAGTATATATATTTTAAAAAATTGCCAGGATGAATTTACTCTTACAAAAAAATATATTTCTTGAGACTATGCATATAGAATGAGTCAATTTCATTTGGTCCCTTCAAACGCTGTTGAAGTAATAACAATTCCATGGTGGAGTCGACCTTTTATTGTGAAGAGACAGGACCTTTTATTGTGAAGAGATGAGTCAATTTCACAGAATGAAATTGACTCATTCTGTATGCATATTCTCAAGAAATATATATTTTTTAAATAAAAGTATAGATATTAATGAAAAACAGAGTATATAAATAATAAAAATAATAAAATAAAAAATAAAAATACAAATAAAGTGAACAACAGGAATTCCATATCCCTATGCATTATTTTGCATAATTAATTAACCTATGGGATTATCAAAAAACAATTGCCATGCATTAGACATGGATTCTGAGTCTTTATGGTTAATATAATTATTTTTCAATGTGGGTCTTGAATATTTCTAATGTTTCCAGTGTTCTTAAGTAATGTTCATCATAGATTCTTTTTATTATTTTTGTTGCATTTAGAATTGCAGACATCCTGGGTCTGTTGCATACTGAGCTAAAATGGTTGTTGATTTGTTGTTATCCATGTTGTATTTATGTTCATTATTTTGCATTTTAAAGATCTAATTGTTGACCCAATGTATGTAAGTTGGTGATTAAATCTTTTGTCTATTACCAAGATTGAATATATACTCAGTGCATTGTTGTTGTCTATCTCATATTTACTGTTGTGTAGCAATTTGTGTAGATTGTGGCATTTCTTGGAAGCATAAGCTGGCATTTAAATATTTAGCAATTTGTTTATAAATCAATTTGAGTCTATTATCAAAATCTGTACTTATTCATCTAGTTGTTGGGAGGTATGGTGACCTCTGGTTGCGGAAGCTTCATATATTTGTTTTCTATTTTTTGTGCCAGGTTTTGTATAAACTTCTTATCATATTTGTGTATTCTGGCTATTTCTTCTATTATCTTTCATGGTGTTTGCAATGTCTGAACAGTGTGTATATGCTCTTCTAACTAGAGCTCTGAATGCCGTGATTTTATAAGAAAATGGGTCATGTGAATGGGAAGGTACTAGTAATGGGTGATAATTTGATTTGTAAAACACCCATGTATTAATATACCCATTTTACTCCTTTTAACTCAAATTTAAATCACATATAAGCTCCTCCTGAACAATGAGAAAAACAGCATTGCCTTATTCATCACACTGATATTCTATGACCTGTACTATTAACTGTTCTTTCCCAGAAACTTCACTGTGAAGATTCATCACCTTCCACATGGAAGGAACAAATTTAAT